TCCGGAATATGAGTTTGAAGGGACTCTATAACAACTGTTTCTGACGAACAATGCAAACATCGATTTTTGAGTCAAGGAATTTATGGTAATTCTTATAATTCGGGACCAGACCACATACGATATTTCGAAAGCAGTGGGAGTAAGTACAAGATCTTATGGTTCTATAATAATTTGAAATTGATGCAATCATATTAACAATAATTCTAATTTATTATTGAATAAAAAAATATTTAATATTACAATATTAAGGCAGTTGTAGCTATATTTGTAACTATTATCATTTTAACGTATTATAAGAATTTGTATTCTTATAATATGATCAAAATTTTGTACTCTTGAATAATGTTGTACTTTTAATTTATCTTATTTATTTCTATAAACTAATTACTATGAGCTATTTACCAAAGAGTATATTATGTATATTATGAAACGCGATTGGTTAGGTTGCGATCATTAATCGTAAACTTATTAATTAGTTACAAGAGACAAGTATACATGTTTTTGCCAGAGTTAAACTTAACCATAACTTAACTTAATAAAGGAAGCGTGAATCTGCAGTATTTTTTTTTTGGTCAGAAGGAGAAAATGCTTTTTACGTATTATAGGGAGTGGCGAGCTATCCCGCCAGATTCGATCTCATACAAAGATAATAATTATGTGGACTCATATCAGCTAAAAATCTTAATTTTTGTTCGTCATTGACTTTTTCTCCTGTGGGACCGCCGCGAAGAATTACTTTACGAGTGTGGCCGTAGCTGTTCTTCCCTTTCACCTATTTACTTTTTTTGAAGGGGAAGCTTTTTGCTGCCACTAATCTCTTCCTCTTCTGCTCCTCTTCCTCTTCTGCTCGTCATAGCTTTCTCAATATCGTTGTAGCGAAGATTACTGGCGGCATTCCAGCTTTCTTTCGAGGTCAGCATGAATTGTACCAGATTCTCAGCCACTCTCTTGGAACTCCCCTAGTGTTTTAGCCAGCTCCTCTCGCTTCGTTGAAAAGCGCGAGCACTAAAAAAGTGCTCGGCATCTTTTGACACTTCACACCCGTTTGGGCAAGTAGGTCTTCGTGTCCAAGTCTGTGAAGATATGTTCTAAAACAATCGTGTGAACCCGAGAATTCCTGAATCAAATAGAAGTTGATTTCCCCGTGATTGCGGTTTACCCATCAATCTATCCGAGGAATTAGATGATGTGTTCATCCCCTTTCATGGATGCATCCCACTCTACAGTATAACCAGCTTTCTAATCTTATTCTCTGCTTTTCTCGAAGCTTTTTCCGGTGGCATGGTTCTCTTCACGTATAGTATTTTTCACTCTTCAGCAAGGATATGAATAGGGATCATCCCAGCTGTTTCACACACACACACAGCATCTTCCGACACTGTGCGAAATATGCTGGAGACCCTGAAGGTACTGAGCCGATAAATCCTTGCTGCTTTTCTTTTGGTACTCCTCGATCTTCGAAACAAAATCAAGCAATATTTCTTGGATCCTCTCTTCCATCGTTTGCCAGCTGTGGTTTCTCTTGTCTTGTAAACCTCTCTCGATCGATCGTCTTGATTTGGATTTTCTAAAGCTATCTATTAGGGAATTTCCAATAGCTTCAATCCGGTCATGGGTAATCCGCTCCAGGATTTTCCTGTTGTATCTAATATTCACAGAGAGAGATAGGAGGGATCGTCTGATAGTTTATTGCTCTTAGGCAAAAGTTGCTACCACTTCCAATGCTTAGGAAAGATTCCCTGAGGCATGCATTGTACATGTCCATAAACATTTCAGGTGCTTCGTGGTTTTAGCAGTTTTAATGGCAACATTCAGGATATTGTCCATTCCTGGCGCCTTCTTGTTTCCCACCTTCTTAGCCTGGAGCAATTCCTCATTTGTGATAGAAGATGATCTCCTCTTCTTTACTGTTGACCTGATACTTGAAACAGTGTTTCCACTATCTCTCTGAGTTTATCAGGGTAGGCTGCTGTTTTGATCAGTTTTTCAGCCATGTTATGATCATCTTGTATGGCCTGCCCCTTGGGTCTTCCTCAACTTCATCTAGCAAGTCCGCCTTGCTCTGCTTAATTACCTTAGTGAGTCTGGCGCGAGCTTCTCTGTATTTCTCCTCCAGTTTTAAATGTGATGGTTTGCCTCTGGACCAGCCGCTTGAAATTGCTTTCCTTTCGAGTTTTAGCTATTGCATCATTTCATCACTACACCGGAATATGTGGATTTTCATTTCTTCTTCTAGGCATGGTAATGTCACAAGTTTCGGCCACTCTACGCATCACTTCGTTGACTTTATTCTCGCGGAATGTTTTCTGAGATCCTCTTTCTCCATGGCCAGGTAGAAAATATCCTCAAACATACTTGCTTTTCAGCCTCTGGCTCTTGATTTTCCTTTTAAAGGTCGATCAGCTCTCTATCGTCTCGCAATCATCCACATGATGACACGATGATCATTGTGCATCATCTGCCAATGAGTATCGCTCTTTGAAAGGCCATCATTAACAAAGGTGAAATCTGTGGTAGACATTGCTCCTCCTCTGACGAATGTTGATATTTTGGCATCATTCAGCAAAGTTAGGTTCAGTATGAACAATATTTCCAGGAGTGCTTAACTCTCTCTTGTTCATTACTTTACTTCTTCAGTCCACAGCATTGAAATCGCCTGCCACTATACACTTCTATCCTTGGTGTTGTTGACTAGTCGATAGATCAAAATGTTACATTAAGTGCGACAATGATGGCCACAAAGTGGAGAAGTGCACTCTAGAAGCCCACTGCGTCCTAAGCAGTGGAAAGAAGAGCCTGGAAGCCAGCAAGCACATTGCTGAAAGCAGCAAATGTGCCACTTACAAAAAATAGATTTTTCTGTTCTTACTCTGTTTGGGCTAGTTATAATTTCAGTGGTTCTTTTTCTAATGTATCTTTCTTCCTCGCCTTCTTCCGAGTCTCCTGAAGAGGAGAATCTCCTTCCTCTTATTTTCTTTTGCTGGGCCTTAGGATAACAGGATATTTATTCAAGGACCTATCGGCTTTTGGCAACGTCTGTGATTTTGTCTGCTATAATACACATTTCTCCGAGTCTATCTTCTCTTCCATTTTCATGAGCCTGTGAATGTGATGTTCATGATATTTATCATCTTAATGTCGCCATGGATATTATGCTTAGGTGTTATAAATTTTAGCAAGTTAGAGATTTATTCTCCTAGTTTTGTCAATATCTGATTTCTCTCTCTAATGTGTTTTTCTAAAGTTTTTGTTTTATTTAAATCTTCCGTTATGCTCCTACTTATAATATTAAATGCCACAAAGACCAAGTTCTCCATTACTGATACATTGCGATCATTGATTGACGACGCCACGGGGCTCATTTGCTCACCTCCTGGCATCGTACTGAGGTTCCTGTAAGGTTCTTGTAAGGTTCATCTTTGTTTGACTCTCCATATGAAATTTATTATTCAAGATTCCTTCTCCTATCCTAATCCGCGGGAATATTTTATTTCCCTCCTACTTTCTATTTCTAGCGGGCACTTCCCAATCCGCCACCTGGGGACGCGCCACGTAGAGGTTTCAGTCTCCCTCCGTGGTGTGTGCGTACGTGCGTGCGTGCGTGTGCGTGTGCGTTGCGTGTGTGCGCGCGCGCGCGCGCGCGCGTATGTGTGTGTGTATGTGTGTATTTTCCCTTTGCGAAAATAGTAAAGCATCAAACACTGCGAAAATACTGCTTGTTTTATTCCACCCTTACAATATTGCCAAATAAAAACTGAATGGATTTTGACATAAATGATGACAGTTTAAGATATTGAAAACCAACTGTTCAGAAAAAAATATGATATCAGATACGGAGTGAAAAGAGCACTAAATATAAATAATCTTCCTAATGACATTTGCAAAATACAACTACTTTTTGCTCAATTTATTTTTACAAATTTATTAATTATTAATTCATTATATATAAATTCATTATATATACAAAACAATAAACATTTCAAAAAGAAATATTCGAAAAAGAATTTTGTCAAAAAAGTGTCTACTTTGAAGCTTGATATCTCTAGAAGTATTAATCATATTGAGTTAAATCCAGTCCAATTTTTTCAGATAAGATGTCTACTTTAAATTATTTTATGTCACTTTTTACTCTCCGATTCACTCGAAATGACGTAAAAGGCAATAATTGAAAAAGTGCCCATTTTTGCCTTTTGTTCAAGAAATTCATTCATCTTCAAACCGCTGTATCTTCAGTTGTATTTATAGCACAAAGCTTGTTAAATACTCATTTTGTAAAAAATTTTAGCAGCAATAAAAAAGTTTTCTTGTCATTTTTTGATATCTCTTCTCGTTTTAATCGAAAAATAAAAAGAAACTTTATTGATAAATTACTTCCAAATGCCTCCCTTGTGTACTTTTGTATGTAGTACTTTTAAATTTAGTGCTTTTTATACTTCAAATGTTAATTAAAACAAGAAAACACTTATTTAGAATTTCTTCCTTTTTTAAAATCTTTGGCGACTGACCGTGATGCAAGCGCGGGTGGCACCCGATTAGACACATTTCAGTTGGATACAAGCCACTCATAGCGCTTAGGACTAGAAAATTCCTAGGCACCCGGTCGCTATGATTGATGATATTCAATCGTATCGAGGTAGTATCGAGTCGTAGTGAATCGAAAACTTCTCTAATTATGTAAGGTTCTTAAACATAACGTTATAAAAAATTTTGATTTTTAACAATTATCTTAAATATCGAATTTATTTATTGGGATGATTCAAATTAAATATTTTTAGATTTACATCAGTCTAATTTAATTGTATCTAAAAAGCCATTCCTTCAGTCTAAGTATAATATGATTTAATAAACATCATTCCTTAGTAATGTTTCACCTTTCATAAAAAGAAAGAAGTTTTGAATTAAAATTTAAAAATTGATAATTTATAATATTAATCCTCTATCTGTCAAAAATCTCTCTGTTATTGCGAAGAGAAGAAATATGATTCTCTGATTTTTTTAAGGTGACAAGCTTCATGATACATCGTGGCTCTTTGATACATTATCACCTGACGCTGAATGATCTTTTTGAGGAGGAACTAATGCAAAATGGAAAAATCAGGATGACAATGTTTTCGCCTTTACGCACAATGTACACAATGGCATATACATACTTCATCGTTATGACAGCATTGATCTTGATATATTTTGCGCCTTCGTATATCATCATAATTCGCCATTTTCTTCTCCATTTTCATTTAACAACAAATTATACATTGCCATTGACTAAGGGACTTGGATATTTCTGGACAGTTCCCGAGAACTTTTTGTATCATTTTCATCTGTTTTACGAGACAAGTATGGTAATACTCAGCTGTGCAACGGCGACCAGTGTTGACAGCATGTTTGGCTTCTATGTCTATCAATTCTCCTCGACGATAAGAGCTATGACTTTCAAACTCATAAATCCTCCGCTGACCGAGAAGTTTTCGAACCTGTTGAGGATATGTGTGGCAAAGCATCAAAGGTTATTGCAATGTCGCCAAACGCTGGAGTATGTCTATGGACCTATTATTTTTTGGCATATTATCATCAACGCAGTGCATCTTTGTGCTTTGATATACGACACAATGCTAGTACGTGAATACATTAGTTGAATACAAGAATCAATGTTATATAATAGTTAATCCACATTACTATATATAGTTGCAATCGTTCGCAAGATAATAAATATCACTAATATTACATTATTACAAGTGTTAATATTATATACTACAATATTATATAAGTAGTAATAAATATTACTGTTACAAATAAGATTAGAAATAAGACCGTTTATTTGAGTACATCATCTAAATACGAGAAGCTCCACTTGATGGTTAATGTTAGATGTTGAACTAATACATATATGTTCCTTGAATGATTTAATTTAAGAAATGATTGCACGTCATTACTATCGGACTTTCAGTGTAATCTATCTGAAATGTTAGTAATGCCCTAAAATTTAATTACATATATATTAAAAACCTGTAAATCATTGCAAGAAATATTATTTCGGCCGGGAGTCGAATCCGAATCTCTAACACTCCGTGCGAACTTCATAAGCCTTTAGACCATTTTAACAATATCCTTCGCAATAACCAATATATATAGAGAGAGGAATGTACTGAAAGACAAGCGTGTATAAACAATAATAAGATTGGAAATAAGACCGTTTATGTGAATGCATCTCCTAAATACGAAAAGTATTATTCGTCAAATAGATGTTGACCTAATACATATACATATTCTTTAAATAAATTTGTTTCAGAAATATGATTGCACTGTTACTATTGAACTTTCAACGCAATTAATCAGAAATATTAATAATCTATCTAAATTTCATTACATCTTAAAAATCTGTAAAGAACTTTTTAAGATGTCTTTAAGAATACGTAATTATATTTGAAATATTTATTAATATTTCAAATCGATTGGAAGTTTGATAGTATTTAGAAGATGTACTCACATGAATGATCTCATTTGCAATATTATTATTGTTTACATATACTTGCCTTTCAGTATGTAACTTTCTATACATATAGGTTTTTGCGAGAATATTGCTAAGTCCTCAGTGAATCTAAATTAGGATGCTTGCACGAAATGCTGTAGATCCTTTAACTCTCGGTCGAAGTAATATTTCTTACAATAAGTTCTTCATGGGTTTTTAAGATGTATGTAATTGAATTTGGGGACATTATTAACATTACAATTCGATTGCGTTGAAAGTCTAACAGTAATGGCACACAATTATATTTCTGAGATAAATTCATTTAAAGAATACGTATATTAGTTCAACGTCTAACTTTAACCGTCAAGTGAGACTTCTCATATTTAAATATTACTAATATTATAACTTATACCATTTACACTAATGTGACGTTATTCTATTCTAAATTTGGAGAACATATACAAATCGAAGAAAGAAATAGATTTTTGTGAAATCTATTGTATAATTAACATTTTGACCGCCATATCACTCATATTTGAGTAATGTAAAATTCACGAGAATCCTAGTCATCATTCTTTTCTGAATGATAATAAGGAAAACACCGATAATGATGTCGGGTTTTGTCCGGCTCATAGTTTTGAAAAAATTGATTTTTCAAGTGGGTTTTGTAATTAATACAATATTTTTATAAATTTTATTTTACTTTATCGAATGTTAAGAACAAAATTACATCTGAGTGGATGATTTTCGAATCTCGGATGATGATCTGAACACTGTATAAATATCAATTATTGTAATTTGTAACTAGAATACGTAATTGTAACTAGAATACATAATTGTATTAGAATACTAGAATTAGCGAAATAATTGCCAATGTAATCCGTATGTTCAAATAATCTATTCGCAAAAATATATGCATTAGTGGAATTATTCATAATTAATACAAAATATATTTTACTAATTATTGATAAATGAAATTAATTTTTAATTTCTTTAATCAATCATTATAATATATTCATTACATTAAAATTAAAATTAATAAATTAATAATTTATATAATACATTTCAAATAAAGTAATGTCAAATAAGCAATTATTATTTTGAGTAATAATTCATTAATTGTCAATTGTCAGTGTAATAAATTAGTAATAAAATATTAGAATTAATCGCATTAATTCTAATTAATGTCTTATGTGATGCATTCTTGCGCCAAAAATATCTTCTTTTCTTCATTTTTTTCGAAATGAAAATTACGAATCATTTCTGTTACAAATTCTGCAATTTCCTTTCCAATAATTTCTGCTCTTTCAAATAACTTGGAACTTTCTATTTTCTCAGCCAGTTGTAGTTTATATAATATTTCACCATAAATTTTCAGCCCATCAGTTATATCTCGTTTTAAGAGCGACAAAGATGTTTTGTCTTGCCCGACAATAATCATATTTTCCACTCTTAGCAAATGCGATTTTATTATGAACATTTATTCTATGCTGATAAATTTTATTGAAATATTTGTTCAGTTCGGAAAATTGCTGCGCGCACGAGTGAGTCGAATGCTTATTGAAATGAGCAACATTTCGACTGGCACGTGGTCTACTTACCGCGTTCAAAATCATCATCCGAAATTTAGAATCATCCATCCAGATGTAATTTTATCTTTAACATATGAAATAAAATGAAATTTATAACGATAATAATATTTTTATATATAACAATACATTTTTAAAATTATTACAATAATTATTTAAAAAATCGATTTCTCCGAAACTATGGGTCAATGGCTAAAATGTAGATACGTATAGTTTTTCTTCGCTTCAAACAAAACAAAGTAAAAGGCGCATCAAAATCCCTAACATCGTCACCTGATGTGTTCCCCTTGTAAATATTTAAAACATATTAATCTAATAAGAATGATTTTATTAAGAATTTAAAATATTAAAGAAATAATAAAAGATATAGAATAAGATTGTCCAAGAGTACGCACTGCTTAAAAGTATTTGTATTTATCTTTGAAACGATCTTAATTATGTTGAATAACATATTAAAATCCGTAATTAATTCTTATTGCGAAAAATATTATCTCGGCCGGGAGTCGAACCCGGATCTCTTGCATGCTTCCGTGCGAGCGTCCTAAGTTTTTAGACTATCGAGCCTTAGAGATTTTAATACAGTAGTAATATAGATTTACAGATTTTATATGTTATTCAACATTATTAAGATCGTTTCGAAAATGCGAATAAACATAAAAAATTCGTTAAATTGCCAATTTAACTCGTGATACTGCGGTAGTTTAGTAGAGTTAGCGTTTCCAAAACCGAAAAATCATTTCGGCGCGCGTTTCTGGGGACTACATAGTATATAAATTCACACAAGAATTATACAAGTATTTAAGATCTAGCTAGATCGTTTAAGGCTTTGATTTCTATTTTAAATATGATATATTGATTTCTAGTTTAAATTCAATGAATAATTCAATGAATTATGTATAGGCATATTATATATAGGGCATTCCATATCTATATAAAGTTGGCCCCCAGACTTTTGAGAAAATTAATTTTTTATAGCTCAATTCGAGCTATAAAATGAGCTTTATTGCTCATCATTTGCACATGTTTGCAAATTTTGAATTTTCGTTTAGTTAAAAAGTTTTTTAAAAAACAATTTTGGGAAGGCTAATTTCACACTAGTCTTTCAACTTTGAATAAATTGGATCGAAAAGATCTCAATCGATAGATTTTCATTTGCATACTTATAATTAAAAGTTATTAATAATTAAAGTTTTGAGAGAGATCAACTGTGAAAGATATTGTAGGTTCAAATCGCAATTATTGTGCTCAATGGCATGAAATTGGTAGGATTTTGTTTGCACATTCTGAAATAAGTCGATTTTTCGTTTGTACACTTGTAATTTAAAAGTTATTAACAAATGAGTGTTGAAGGGCCAACTTTACATCACATTAAAAATTATGTTATCGGCTCGAATTCAATAAAAAGGAGTTCAAAATAGTACTAATCGATAGATTTTCGTTTGCACATTTCGAAATAATTCGATTTTTTTGCACACTTGTAGTTTAAAAGTTATATACACAAAGTGTATTTACTGTCAATTTAAACGTAATATTCCTGTTTGGAATTTATCTAGCGAAGTCGAAATCATAATTGTCAATAACATTTATCCGAAAAATGTAATTTTTGTCGAGTGAACAATTTATATCAAATATCTTTTTAAATGAATTTTAAAGTATGCGAATGAAAAATGGACTAGTTTCGGAATGTGCAAACGAAAATCTATCAATTTATGCCATTTTGAGCATAATTGATGCGATTTGAACCTATTTGTTGCTTTGGACCCTTCTCGAAAATTTTCTCTTTAATTGTTAATAACTTTTTAAGTAAAGATGTGCAAACAAAAAATCGAATTGTTTCGGAATGTGCAAACGAAAATCTATCGATTAGTGGTATTTTGAACTCCATTTTATTAAATTCGAGCCACGAAAACGAACTTTTACGAACTGTAGTGTGTAGTTAGCCTTCCAACGCTCATTTTTTAATAACTTTTAAAATAAAGGTATGTAAAACGAAAAATCGACTTATTTCGAAATGTGCAAACAAAAATCTATCGATTGAGACCTTTTCGATCCACTTTGCTCGAAGTTGGGGAAGCTAATATAAATTTAGCCTCCCCAAAACTATTTTTTTAATAACTTTCTTACTAGAAGTGTGCAAACGAAAATTCAAAGTGTAAACGATGTGTTCTGTAGCTCGAATGAGCTACAGAAAATTAATTTTCTCAAAAGATGGAGAGCCAACTTCACACGGATGCATTCCAAGCCAACCATCCATTTTGCGAAGTTTCATGGATTTCATTCATATTGCTTAAACTTGAACAATTTGATGAATAAAGACTTTATGTCGAATAATAGACTCTTAGGTTATCGAACTATAGGATCGTCAATTTTTGGAATTTTTTGTCGTAACGCTTGTCGTTAGTAGGTATGAAAGGCAAGTTTGAAAATGAAATACTAACATTTTCTTATAAAAAATTGAATGCTTTTTCATGTGAAAATATTTTCTTTTTTTCAATCAGATCATTTTTGACAATTTCTATCCGTTTTTAAGTTTTTAAAATGACGGCGCGATTAAAAG